GAAGCTGTTACCATTTAAGTATTTACAATGTGGTAGGTGCTGTGCTAAGTGAATTATTTACATTATCTCATTTATTCTTCAAAATAAACTTTATGTGGGTTGGTACCATCATCCTCATTTTACAGATATAACAGATTGAGAAAAGTAACCTACACAGTCATCCAGCTACTAAGCGGCAGTCAGGATTCCAACACAGGCAGTGTTGGTTCCAGAGCCTACACTGCCACCCTAAAATCTAAAATGAAACAATGTACAAACAGTGTGTAGATAAAACTAATACTCAATATTTTAATGTAATTTAAAATAGATTTAACCTTATTTAAAAATTATAAAACCACATCCACAAGTGATCTCTAAAGAGAAAAAAGTTCAGTTTTTAGAAATATTACTATAGTTTCCTCACTCTGTCTTTATTTACATATATACACAGAGTATTCAAACACTTATAAGTTAGATTCACTGTCCATATCTGAAGTGATGACTACTGGTAAGAATTAAGTGTATAACCACTTAAAATATAATACATAAACAGTCTTTGTTTCCACACTATATACAGGTTAAGAATATTCTTTTGCTGGAAGGTGCGCCACAGTATCCAAATCTCTCAATATTCTCAACACTACCAACAAGTGTATACCTAATACCCTGAAGATGTCCACTCATCTCTTAATGCAAACTGTTGCAAATGAAGTGAATTTGCCTTAACTATACTGAACTAAATTAAGACTTTCCATACAAAATTAATTTACCCCTAAATTATGTTTATTCTTCTTATACTAATATTTTTCTAACAGCCTTTTTTAATTCCAGTGCAAATTATTTTAAAAGAACCAAACTGCCAATAGCTTTTCTGTAACCCATGAAAAAATTCCAAAAATTTGGGGATATGTGAATAGTCAAATCCAATATACTAATTTCACCTTTCCTGACAAATGAAAGTACTTTACATTATTAATGCATATACATATTCAATACTTAGAGAATCACAGACCAAAACACTTTTGACCACCTAGCAAAGAATGCATGTGGCACTAATATGGCCTAAATAAAGGAATTAAGGACATCAGTTTGCTCAGCAAATCCTTGACAACTTAGGGTTGTTCGGTCTAACATTACTGGTATTTCTGATAGCAACTGTGTTAACCTCAAAGCTACCACATAGAAAGCAACTGTAAAACAGAATATTTAATATCATAAAACTGAATATTTACTGAAACCATTTCTGACCCCAATCTCACAAGCTGATACAAATGTCTTAAGTCACTATCCTTAGAACAAATCCTAACACCTTTTCTTAATGAATTCATACCACAAAAGAATACTGATTTTACTTAAAATCAAGTTTATCTAACAAAAAAAGAGACAGGAGAAAAGGTAAGAGTGACAGTTCTATGAAATAGAAATAAAACTTCAGAACTAATGGGGGCTACAGGAAAAAAAAACACACCAAATAAATTTCTTACACCATCATTAATAACGTATTTTTCTGGAAGCTAAATTCTTATAGTACAGCCAAGGCCTAACATTTCAAGTAAGTGAAAAACTGTCATATGCATACAAACTTCTAAATTTCTTTTTACAAACTCAAATTTCACATACAATACTAACATAAAAACATTTCCTACACTGCTGTCTTACTAAAAATGCAAAGGCAAAAATTTAAAAATAGAATGTTTACTGAGAGTGATTTAATGTAGAAACTTTGTGATCTTCCCATAATAAATACTCCTACATTAAAAAGTCACTGAAGTGACTACTTCTTAAGTTGCTTAGAAATTATTAAAAAGTATTAAGCTATCATCAAATGAACAAATAGCAAATGGGGCAAATCTCAAAATGAGGACATTTGAAAATCAGTACTAAAGACTTCCCAAAAGTAAGAAATTTTGTAACATTAAGAGTTTATATTTTTGTGTGTGTGGTTAATGGGAGAAAGCAGGTACTATACTGTTCCACACAAGCATTAAAGTATCACCAGCTACCTTGAATGTTGTTAAAATAAAATTCTGATAGGTAATACACATATATGCACCTTTCTTTACTATCTTTCTAAAACTATTTAAAGTTAAGGTGATTATACCTCACCATATTTTATATTTACTTAGTATTTATTTAGTGTATCATAAGCAATGTTAAATCTGCACTGATGACTGTACTACTGTGCAAACTTTTACAATGAGCAGCAATAAAATTCCTTTTTACTTATATTAAGAGTTATATAAACTGTAAATTCCTCTCAGATGCGCTTTATTCTTTAATACACTTTATGAAAATGAAGTTTATAAATTATTGTATAGCAATTAGGTGGCCCAATTATGTTGCACGGGAAAGAAATACAACTTAACAGATACAAAACAATGTAAAATAAAAATTGTGAGTAGAATCTTTTTCCAAAAAAACCTCACAATACAGTCATTTCAGTAATCACTAATCTTAAAAGATACTACATACAACCTGCTAGAGAGATACTACAACCTGCTAGAGACAAAGCCTTCAATGGCCATTTTAATTTCCCCCCACCACAGTAAACACAAAACACTAAAGTGAAACCAAGCAAACTAAAGTGCTTTGGTATTTCAAAATGATTGGAAGTGCAACTATCAAAAAAGTAAACCCTTTACTGACTTCCCTAAGTGATTTTTTTTCACATCAACATTTGGCTCAATAAAACCACAACTCTAGAAATTAAGTGTTATTAGTCATTTGATGCAATATACGATAATGCTTTCTATGCATACCATAACTAAAAGGACAGTTTTAGAGAAAGTTGTAAGTCACATAAATTTCATACATAGAGGCACACACACTCTGAAATCAAAGGAGAAATGGCTAATCACCTCACTGCTCATATATAAGAACTTGGTAGAATGTTAGTCTTATAACTCTGATAATTTTAAATGTGTAAAGCAAAAATAGCATAAACATATTCTGAATACTAAAAGCAATCTGCCCAACAAACAGCATTCTAGAAAATTTTTTGAATGGGGGTTTATTTTAAAAATTTAAACATTTAATTAATTTGTTTCTATACATCTAGATGACTGTCAAGTCACACCAATAGTAGACTATTTTTGAAATAGGTTACAAATCAGAAGAGTTTTTTCATAATTAATTATCTTCTGGGCAAGCGGGTCAAGTTCAGCTTTAGTAAAGTTTTTCAATTAATGTAACTCCAAACTTTCCAAATATTCTTTTAAAATATCATTTTTTAACCTAACAGAAAACTTACGTTGTGTGTGTTGTAAAGCTACTTCTTCAGTAACTTTTATCTTCATTTCATATCAAAAACTGGGGCAAAATTAGCTGTGCACATTTACGTGTGGATACATAATCCAAAGGAATAAAACCTCTTCAGATATGTAACATTTTCTTCAAAAAAATCTTCCCCACGGTTTTTACCTGGATGTATAGACACTTTAGTGTCACTCTACCTTTAGGCAAAATGTTTACTGATACTTGCTAAGAAACCATTTTTATTAAGACTATTAACACTTATGCAATTATGTAGTTTTAAGTAAGTATTGTCCACTGCTACAATTCACAGCACCAAATTTTTTATCTTAATAGAGGCCTTAATAAAATGCTTCAGTCACCTCAGACCAATAACTTAATCCTGTTCTTCACGCCTTACACTGGCCTACCAGTGACTCTCAATTCCTACGATACTTTCCATTCTGCAAAAAAGGAGGGCTCTATCGCCATCCTTGATCAAAACCGGTTTATTATACCTGAAACTGCAAAGACTCATGCCTTTCGATAACCACTATCTTTTGAAATATAAAGGCCTAACTTTTAGACAACCAATTATATACCACTGAAACTCTTGGGTTTCTGTCTTATCCAACAAGCTGACTCAGTAAATTTAATACACCATATGAAAAAAGCGAACACACCTACAAGCCGAAGCTGGAGTGATCCACTCTTCCCAGCATTTCTGGTTATTAGCTGGTAAATTATACTTATACTGATATTCTACACAAGCCAGAGTAAAGTTAATGGATACCCAAAGGTGTCACAGGACCTGAAACCTAAATAAGGTGAGTGTCAATTCTGGTATCACAATAATACTTAAATTTCAAGTGAAACTGAAGTTTAATCTCTGCAATCACCATTTACTACACACAATACCCTTGAACCTACACAACATTATCATCTGGGATCAAAAACCACTCAATCTCCATTCTATTATGTGTCACAAGAGCACTGAATATACAGTGCTACTGAACTGCAAATTTCATGCCCTATCCCACATCAGCCCAACACGAGACAAAAAAAGCAAATTTAACAAAGATCTAGTAAGAGCGCCTTTGAGATGTATCACGGTACTATTGATTTCAAGCTACAAAACTTCTAAATGCGATTCAAAGTTGTAATTAACTTAGTTTCAACATACAAACCTACTTTTGCCTTCAAATGAGCACCATATATGCTAAAATGATTCTCTCTCTAAAGTTATGCAAATCAGTTCGGTTCACAACTCACATTTTAAAAGAATCTATCAATGCAACTCAGGAAACTAAAAGCAATCACTGCAAGATTCTGATGCAATATGCGTACGCGCAACACTAATTTTCATTTTAATCTGATCTATACCCTTGATCTAGGGCCTAAAGCCAAGATTTAATCGAAATATGCTCAACCTCAAAGCATCTACTTTTCTGTTCATTTAGCAGACCGGATTACCGAGCTCACTAATCCACTAGCAGTGTACTGTATTCTTTATTAACGGACAATAGCCCTTAGGGAGAGTCCCCACAGACAGACTAAGAAACCCATCAGTGCCTTGACACTTGCAACCAGGCAAGAGTTCCGAATAGCCGAACACACCCTAGGTTGAATGCATTCAAAAGAGGCACAAAATATACATGATCTAGAAATCCGACCAGGGTTAAATGTCATAGTCACCCAAACTATGGACATTTTTCGCATCCGTCTACTCCCACGTTATAAGAGAGAGTGACAGAAAGGCAAAGAGGAGCGGCAGCCACAGAAATGGATACAGGTCAAGTCTAAGTCGAATCCATCCTCTTGATATCTCCTTTTGTTTCTGCTAACGATCTCTTTGATGATGGCTGTCATGTCTGGGAGCCTGTGGCTGAAGAAAAAGGAGGAGAGAGATGGCAGAAGCTGCTGGTGGCGGGGCTTCTTCTGCAGGATGGAAATGGCTCTGGACTTGGCGGTGGCTGATGCCCCTCGCTCTGCTGCCGCTTGGTTCTGGACAGCAGCCGGGTAATGGCTGCTGCGGCGGCTGCTGGATGGTTGCAGCGACTGGGCCTGCTTCTCCTCAGCAGCCAGAGGTCTGGCAGCGGCGGCAGCGGAATGGGGAGAAGAATAATCCTCGGAACGGCTGCCTCCTCCGGCGGCCTCCGGAGCCCGGGCCAGGAGGGGTGCGGCGGCGGCGGAGGGGAGGTTTAAAACCGGCCCGGGTCCCTGGATGTGCCGCCGCCGCCGCCGCCGTGTTGGAGGCAGTAGAAGGGGAGAGACCAACTCTCCGGCGTTCCCAGCCCTGGAAATGGTGACAGGCGACTCCGACACCCTCCCCGGAGCTGCAGCCGCCGCCGCCGCCGCCGCTTCTCCCCCCCGCTCCAGGAGCGGGAGGTGCAGCCGCCGCGCCTCAGCCGGCTCCCGCCCGAGTCCACAGCTTCCACCTTCCCTTTCAGGAGAAGCCGAGGAAAAGGCTGCACGGTTAGAAAAGAAGACGAAGAGGAGGCGAGAAACGCCGCCGCTGCCGCCGCCGCCGGCCGGCCGGCTCCCCGAGGGCGCTGCCCCCGCGGCTGCTCACAGGCGCTGAGAGGGGCTCTGGGCCGCGGCCGCCGCCGTCTCTCATCTCCTTCGCCTGAGCCCGGCCTCGCCTCACAGCGGCTCAACTCTCAAACTTCCATCATGGCTGCAGCTTCCGAGAGGAGAGAACTGAGCGCAGCCGCGTCCCAGCGCCCGAACGTGTATCCTGCCGCAGTGCACAAAGAGTCCCGCCACATCACCGCCCGCCGGCCTGCCCGCCCCCTGCGCCGCCGCGCCGGGAGCCCAGGCGCCTCGGAGCCCGAGGGGAGGCGGGAGGCGGACGGACTGCGCCGGGGGAGGGAAGGGCAGGGCAGGGGCTGTAGGGAGGGGGCAGAAGCAGCAGCTCCGGGTGCGAGCGCCGAGTCCCCAACGGGCAGGCGCACTGAGCATGCCCAGTATGACTGCCTGGAGCTCGCTCGGGCTTGTTTCGAGGCGCCCGCCTGTAGCTGCACTTGCTGCGGGTGCTTCTGCAGCAGCCCAGGGTGGGGGGAACGAGCTGAGCCACGGCCGAAAAACCCAGCCACAGGCAGAGTAGGCTGTTGCAAGGGGGAGAGGGGGAGCGAAGGTGAAGGCTGTGGCCGGTTCGTTGAGCAGTGTCACTGACTTGAGTCTGAGGTTACCTGTGCACAGGTGGAAAAGACCAGGTGACTGCTATGGTCAGGGTACAGGAAAACGCAGGGACGGTCCCTGCAGCGAGGACACCCCTCCCCCTGCCTCCACCTCCAGATTTCCCCGGCACGGCCTGCAGCCTCCTTCTCCTTATGCACGGATGTCGGATCACGATCGTTCGCAGGGATGTGACTGCAGCAGCCCTTGCTGAGAAATCCCACCTCTCCCCTCATCCCCACCCGTGTCTTCAAGGTGTCAGTCTTAGTACAAAGAATAACCCCCTATTGTGTCTCCAGTGTGTATCACCTCATCCGGCTCCCTTTCACCGCCCCACCTCCCGCTTCCCCGGCACTCGGTTCATTTGCCCTAAAAATGAAAGCTCCCAGCGGAGCGCGCTGAGTGTGAGCACATCGCCCCTGAATTTCTAGATCCCAAAGGGCAACTGTCCAGGTAAACTGAAAGCGGATCCCCGAGGATGGGATGCACGCTGCAGCCCCCTGCATTTCCCCCGGAGAGCCGAGCATCTCTCCCCTCGGGGTTCCAGTTGGGTTCACCGCTCCGAACTCAAGCTCGACCCTTAGCGGCTCCTCGCCCCGCCCCTTTTGGGCCGCAGCGAAAACCCGGCTGGGTGGATCGCCCCGCGGCCAGGTTCCGCGCTCCCCTAGCGGGTCAGTGCACGCTAGAGACCGGGGTTGCAGGGCGGGAGTATGAATTACGGGACGGTAGGAAACTGCAGCCCCAGCGAGTGGGCGGAGCCGAGGAGACCTAGGAGGGTTCAAAAGGAGGTGGAGGGATACACGGGCCACAGTCGGAACTACTTTCAGGAGGAGGTCACGTGTGTTCCTAGTTGGGGAACTTTCCAAATTCCCACTCCCATTTGATAGCTCTAGAGGCAAGTGCTTCCCTTCCTTTGCCCAGGGTGCTCCCGCCATGTACGGGTAGCTGGACCCCAGAGCCTCCCCGGTTTCGGCGGAAGAATAGGCTCAGACGATCCTCCCGCCGGAGCGCTGTCAGTGCTGGCGCCTGAGGAGCTGGTTACACAAGCACCCACATCCAAGCACGTGCCCCCGCCTCCCCTCACCTTGGCTGCCGCCGCTGATTCTTGCGGATCTCGGAGCAAGAGTTCCCAAGCTGGTCGCACCCTTTCCTGCTACCCACAGAGCAAGCTAGAGGACGGAGACCTGAAACTCCGAGCTCTGGATCCGCTACCACTGCGCCTTCCAAACCGTGGGAGAAGGGGCTGGGCCCCGGGGGTCTGGCGCATCTTCCTTGCTAGTGCCCTGCCCCCTAGGGCGAACCTTTCTGGTGCTGTACTCGCGGGGCAAAGGGTATCTACTGCAGCAGCCCGGTGATTGAATTCAGCGATGTTGCGACAAACTTTCAGTCACTACTGAGCGGGTGAGCGCGCCCCACCTACTGTAGACTCAGCCTAGTGACTTATCTGGTCGGAGAACCTAGTCCATGGCCTTCAGCCCAGAACAAACTTGTCAAGTCTGCTTAGAGCTCGGATTGTTTGACCTAAACCGCGAAAGATCTGGTTCGGAAATGCTGAAAACTAGAGCACATTTACCCTGACATCGATCGGCTGCAAAGTGAGTGGTCCACCGTCTGCTTGTAGAGAGTGGGCATCAGTACCATTGTAGGAATTCTTTCTTTCCCCTGGGAAGTAGAACTCAAGGAGAATTTGAGTCCAAAAGTATTTAAGTTGATACCTAGACTGAGGCGCTGGTCGTTTTTTAGATCTGAGAGAATGGGATCAATTTGCATGTGTGTTGCAGTTATTGTGAATTGATGCCTAGGAAGGTCTAAAAGAGGATTTATTCAGTGTATGAGAAAGAACACATCATAGTTGTAGGCAGCCCCTGAAGACTAGAAACCTCAAGAGAGCTACCGTAGAAGCCACAGACCATTACCTTACTCCAGGACTACTTACTAATTAAACCAGGGATATTTACACTGTTCTTAGAGATCTCTGAGGCTTCATAAAACTTTGAATTTATATGCAACATCCTTTTAAGATAGCCCTGCAGGAGTTAGCCACCTGCTGAATCTTCAGTCTTGATATTTATTGGAGCCTGGTTTTGTGCATGGTCCTGGTCAGCTTGGGGGAAGGAGGGGCCACAAGTGGAAAAAGAAATGGAGAGCAACCTAGAAAGAGTAGGAGAAAGGCCTCCATTTGGTTTCCAAAGATGAAAGTCCTGACCACACAGCCTAGATAAGCTAGAGATTTTTTTTTTTAAATAAATGTATTTATTTATTTATTTTTGGCTGTGTTGGGTCATGGGCTTTCTCTAGTTGCTGCGAGCAGGGGCTACTCTTCGTTGCAGTGCACGGGCTTCTCATTGTGGCACAGGCTTCAGTAGTTGTGGCTCGCAGGCTCCGGAGCGTAGGCTCTGGAGTTGTGGCACACGGGCTTAGTTGCTCCGTGGCATGTGAGATCTTCCCAGACCAGGGCTTGAACCCGTGTCCCCTGCACTGGCAGGTGGATTCTCAGCCACTGTACCACCAGGGAAGCCCTAGAGATTTCTTTATTTTATAAATAACCAAGGATAAGTCCCTGATTTCTAGGTGTTCCACTAGATTGCATGGCAAGAACCTGAGAGCTACGCTCAATTGATTATCAACTACTGCTTGGTGAGGAAAGGGAAAATGAAGATAAAGTTAAATGAAGGCAAGTGATTAGGGAGGGGTAAAATGTCCCACGTTTGTTTTTCCAGTTGCTGATCTTGTCCCCAGAGTTCCTGTTATTAGCACTGCCCTACTTTGCCCACCCCTCTCCCCCCACTCCATGTGAAGATTAGTCTCACAGTATCTGAGAAGTTCTGAAATCCACTTCCTAGGAAGAAAGTGGATTCATTCCTGCCCTGTTGGTGTTTTGGTGTTAGGCCTGAGGAGAGAGAACCCTTTTCAATTCCTGTGGCACAGAGTTATTCTGGAGCAGAGAGGGTGTGCATCACCAGTACTAACATGCTGGAATATGAGACTGGCCCACAAGCACTTCCATCTGCTGAAAGAAGAAACTGGAAAATGAGTTTTGCTGCTACTCTAAACATCAGGTCCCTCTACTTATCTCCATGGTGAGTGAAAGGACCACCAACGTTGGCAGATATTTGACCAGCCTGACAGCAATACCAGGTGGTTATTAGAAGTTGCTGAGTAAAAAATTTCCTCCCCTTCCCAGTGTTAAGTGGGTTCCTGAAGGAAATCCTTTTTTAATTTTTGTATTTCTTCACTTTGTCCTCCTACCCAAGAAGTCTCCATATGCAGGTGGTAGAGCTGAAACCTTTAAATAGCTGACACTATCTAATGTACAGAAAGTTTTTTAAAATGTTTTTTTCAAGTTCAGTTGCAAATATCTGCTTGGCTGTACAGATATTACAATACATTGGTTTCTAAACACTTCAGTTATTTACCTGTCTGGATTCAGACTGCCCTGGGGAGAAACAGAAGCTGGTAACAAAGGGAGAATTATATAAAGCTTCAGGGAGACTAACCATACAGAATAATTAGTGAACAGGAAAAACCAGCTTTAATTATAGTTTCTAACAGCTGATTCCAAAACTGTATTGCTACTGCATCCAGAGAATATCTAAAGAAAATTCCTTTCTTATTTTCTTTGATAAGTGAAATGACCAGCAACTCAATGGGGATGATATAAATAGTTGATGTGCTCTTTGTAGGTCCTGCTGCTAAAATGTCTTTTGTTGAACACTGATTGCTATAGTGCCTTTCTCATCTCCCACACACTGACCTTTCAAATAGAGATCTAAAGCAATGGCTTCAATTTTTAAGTAATCTTCTCTATTTTTATCTGCTTAACCACTGTTTTCTAAATAATACAGAGTAAAAAGTATGTAATAATTATATATTTTAACTTAAACCATCCCATTCTTCCAATGGTCTGAAGACTTTTCCCTTATTTCAGTTATCCTAATTACAAATATCCCTGTTGTTTTAAATAAAGACCTTTTGCTTACAACATTTCTCCAGAAGGTACCAGTATGGATCATACAAGCAACCACATCCTAAAAGAGAATTTTCCATTGTTGCCTACAAGTTCTTCATGCCCTAATCTCCTGGAGCTCTTTCAGATGGCACTTGTGTCTCCTTTCACAACTCAGTAGAGAGGTGTGCTGTATGAAATATCACACAAAGAGAAATGAGGGCTGGGCTGGGAGAACCACAGAGCAGACTAGGCACTCACTATGTCCAAGTGGCATTTAGAAATTGTGACTTGGACTAGAGAGTGATAGAAAAGAAAGACCTAACATGACAAGACAGCTTAGATTGTTTTAGTCTCTGATCTAACACTGGCTATTGGATATTCCACTCTGGTCCCCTTAATACTAACTCTAGCCCTAGGAACACATATCTTGCCTTTTAGCTCTTCCGATAATAGAAAAAGATAATAATTTTTATGTTACCAGCAGATATTGGGGCATTTACCAGGTGCTTCACAGAGTAGCCCTCATTGGTCCAGGTATAGGAGGGACACTGAGAAGGAGTCAAGGGTAACTATTGCCTCACTCCTACAAATCTTTCCCTTCAGAACATCCTTCTGGCTTCTGAGGTATCACTTTTTCTGGCAACAAAAAGCAACAAAAAACCTTTTTGAAAGAGAAAATGCATGGTTAAAACTCTATCTAAGGGACTTCCCTGGTGGTCTAGTGGTTGAGAATCCGCCTGCCAATGCAGGGGACGCGGGTTCGATCCCTGGCTGGAGAACTAAAATCCTACATGCCAGGGGGCAACTAAGCCCACACACCACAACTACTGAGCCTGTGCACTCTGGAGCCCACCCGCCACAACTAGAGAGAAGCCTGTGTGCCACAACAAAGAGCCCACACCACAACGAAAGATCCCACATGCCACAATGAAGATCCCACATGCCGCAACTAAGACCTGACACAGCCAAATAAATAAAAATTTAAAAATTAAAAAAAAAAAAACTCTATTTAAGGTAGCTTTTTTGTCTGTGTTGATGGTATAGGGTCTTAACTCCATTTAGTCATTTAATGATTCAATCAACAAATATGTGGGAGTCTTATGTGTCAGTACTAATAATGCTAAGCTCTGTGGACAGAGCAATGACTATAGCATAGAGGGTCCAGCCTTTACGGAATTTAGTCTCCTTGAAAACTTGGCTTCTTTGTCTGACACTGTTGCAACCTCTTCACAGTCTAGGAGTAAAGTTAAAGCTGTAGAAAATACCCTAGTATTTGATAACTGTTTCAATTATCTATTGCTGCATAACAAACCACTGTAAACTTGGTGGCTTAAAAGAACAACCACCATTTATTTTCTCACAATTTTGCAATTTGGGAAGGTTACAGCTGGACAGTTCTTCAGCTCCCCCATGATGTCAGCTGGGTCAGACATGTGGTTACGTTCAGCTATGACTTTGGCTAGGGCTGGAATGTCTGTGACATTCCCCACATGTCTGGCACCTCAGCTGGAGCACCTGAAATGCCTGGGGGCCTCCCTCTCTTTGTGTGACCGTTCATCATTCAGTGGTCCAGCCCAAGCATCTTTGCACAGTGACTGAATCCCAAGAGGAAGAAAGCAGAGGCTTCAAGGCCTCTCAAAGGCATGGTTCAGAAGTCCCAGAATATCACTTTCATTCTATTCTCTTGGCCAAAGCAAGTCACAAGGCCAGCCCAGATCCAAGGGGAGAGGAGTCTCACTTCTTAATGGAAGGAGTGGCTGGGATGAGAGGAATTATTGGCAGTCAGATTTGGAAGCACTCTACCATAATCCACCCTCTGGCCACAACTCTTCACACAGACACACCCACACACAGACATGCAAAAGACACTTACTTCCTCCCCCGCAAATTATCATTCTGTATAGCATTGGCTGTAAGGTCTAGGATCTAGTAATACACACTAGGCCCAGATGTGAATGAGGCATTTCAGATGCTGTTCCTCTTCATCTGGAGATCCATGAACTAAAAAGACAAGTTACAATACACAACATATAATGCTGAAACAGGGATAGAATAAATGCAAGAGATACTTCTCTTCAAAGGTCGGCAGGGGGAAATGGAAGGCACATAGTAGTCATTAGTCTGTAGCAATTCTGAAAGCCAGCCAAGCACTGTCATCCTGACTCTAAGGATCTAGTTCTCCGTTAGGGCCTGGTTCTTCTCCCTGGGAGTAGTTTCCTAATCCACTGTTCTTGGCTCCCTGCTCTGGGGTCTAGCTGACCTCTGAGTCAATCTTCCTTTCTCATAAGAAACTGCCTGCCCTTTACAGTTGAATAGCTCTCTCAGCCTGCTTCTTGCCCATAGAAAGTTGGGGGCCCAGAGGCTTTTTTTCATTTTGAACTGTCTCCTCCTTCTTTGGTCCAAGCTCCTGGTGCTTTTATCAATAAAATTCTTTTTAAAAGTGTGTGGGTTTTCTATGACTCTAATTGGAGTTCACTCCTTGACCACAAAGCAACATCCAGAATTCTTTCAAAAACAAACCTCTGTCTACATTGGGCCTTTATTTAGGTGACTGCTGTTGGACCACCCTTAAGATTCTTAGAAGCCCTTTTAGTCTAGATGAGAGGGTCTATGAAGCAATGTCTTAAGTTTTTTAGAGATCTCAACAGAGTTTTGATTAAATCTTTTCCTTGAGGTCACATTTTATAGGCAGTCCCTGAGGCCATTTCTTAATTTGAGACCTTTTGCTGACTATAAAGACTCTCCTAGGTCCTGTATATTTCTACATTCTGCTTAAAAACTGAATAGTTCTTTTTTTTTTTTTTTAACACATTTCTCTCTTGTGATACATGACACATCACTAAAAGAAGCCAACTGACACTTTGAACATTCACAATGAAAATCTTCGCCAGGTCTACAAGTTCATTAGGTACATTTTCTATGTTTTACTGCACACATGTGCAAATGTTTCCAAACATTTTGCCACTACATAACACCACTTAGCCAGCCTCCAGAAGCAATTTCCTCACTACTCTTATAGCTTCCATTGAGATCCCTCAACAAAATATTAGCAAACCAAATTCAACAATACATTAAAAGGATCATACACCATGATCAAGTGGGATTTTTTCCAGGGATGCTAGGATGGTTCAACATCTACAAATAAATCAACATGATATATACCACATTAACAAAATGAAGGATAAAAATCATATGATCATCTCAATAAATACAATAAAAGCATTTGACAAAATTCAACATCCATTTATGATTAAAAAAATCTCAACAAAGTGGGTATAATGAGAACATACATCAATATAATAAAGACCATATATGACAATCCCACAGCTAACATACTCAACAGCAAAACGCTGAAAGTTTTTCTTCTAAGATCAGGAACAAGACAAGGATGCTCACTTTCACCACTTTTATTCAACATAGTATTGGAACTTCTAGCCAAAGCATTTATGCAAGCAAAGGAAATAAAAGGCATCCAAATCAAAAAGGAACAAGTAAAACTGTCATTTGCAAATGACATGAGATTATATATAGAAAACCCTAAAGTCTCCACCAAAAACCTGGTAGAACTAATAAACACATTCAGTAAAGTTGCAAGATATAAAATCAATATACAGGGACCTCCCTGGTGGCGCAGTGGTTAAGAATCTGCCTGCCAATGCAGGGTACACAGGTTCGTCCAGGAAGATCCCACATGCCATGAGCAACTAAGCCCATGTGCCACAGTTACTGAGCCTGTGTACCACAACTACTGAAGCCCGCACACTTAAAACCTGTGCTCTGCAACAAGAGAAGCCACCGCAGTGAGAAGCCCGCACACTGCAACGAAGAGTAGCCCCTGCTTGCCACAACTACAGAAAGCCCACACACAGCAACGAAGACCCAATGCAGCCAAAATAAATAAATAAATAAATGTATTTAAATTTTTTTTAAAAAATCAATATACAAAAATCAGTTGCATTTCTTACACTAACAATGAACTATCAGAAAGAGGGATTAAGAAAACAATTCCATTTACAATTGCATCAAAAATAATAAAATACTTAGGAATAAATGTAACCAAGGAGGTGAAAAACCTGTACACTGAAAACTATAAAACACTGATGAAAGAAATCAAAGAAGACACAAACAAATGGAAAGATAATCTGTGCTCTTGAATTAGAAGAATTAATATTGTTAAAGTGACCATACTATCCAAAGCAATCTACATATTCAATGCAATTTCTATCAAAATTCCAAAGGCATTTTTCGCAGAAATAGAACATACAAACCTAAAATTTGTATGGAACCACAAAAGACCCCGAATAGCCAAAGCAATCTTGAGAAAGAAGAACAAAGCTACAGGCATCACACTCCCTGATTTCAAGCTATCTTACAAAGCTATAGTAATCAAAACAGTATGGTACTAGCATAAAAATAGACACATAGACCAATGTGACAGAATAGACAGCCCAGAAATACATCCATGCATATGTGGTCAAGTAATTTACTACAAAAAAGGCAAAAACATACAATGGGGAAAGGACAATCTCTTCAACAAATGTTGTTGGGATAACTGGACAGCCACATGCAAAAAAATGAAACTAGACTACTATCTAACACCATACACAAAAATTAACTTGAAATGGATTAAAGACTTGTATGTAGTAAGACCTGAAACAATAAAAGTCCTAGAAGAAAACATCCGTGGCAATCTCCTTGACATTGATCTTGGCAATGATTTTTTACATCTGACTCCAAAAGCAAAGGCAACAAAAGTAAAAATGAACAGCAGGACTATATCAAACTAAAAAGCTTTTGCTCTTCAAAGGAAATCAACAAAATGAAATGGCAACTTACTAAATGGGAGAAAATATTTGCAAATCATATATCTGATACAAGGTTAATATCCAAAATATATAAAGAATTCATACAACTCAAAAGCAAAACAAACAAAAAAACCAATCCAATTAAAAAATGGGCAGAAGATCTGAATAAATGTTTTTCCAAAGAAGACATACAGATGGCCAATAGGCACATGAAAAGACGCTAAGCATCATTAATCATCAGGGAAATGCAAATCAAAGCCACAATTGGATATCACCTCAAATCTGTTTGCTATTTGAATGGCTATTATAAAAAAGAAGAAATAACAAGTGTTTGTGAGGGTGTGGAGAAAAGGGAACACTTGAGCACTGTTGGTGGGAATGCTAATAGGTAAAGCCACTATGTAAAACAACGTGGAGGTCCGCCCCAAAATTAAAAATAGAACAACATGATTCAGCAATTCCACTTCTGAGTATTTATCTGAAGAAAGCAAAAATAGTCTTTTGAAAGGATATGTGCATCCCTATGTTTGTTGCAGCATTACTTCCAATAGCCAACATATGAAACAACCTAAATGTTCATTGATGGATGAATGGATAAAGAAGATGTAATACATGTACACACACACACACACACACACACACACACACACACAACACAATGGAATACTATTCAGCCATAAAAAATGAAATTTTGCCATTGGCAGCAACAGGAATGGACCCTGAGGGCATTATGCTACGTGAAATATTATTAAGTCAGACAGAGAAAGACAAATACTGTATGATCTCACTTATATGTGGAATCTAAAAAACAAAACAAACAATAATAATTATTTAAAAAAACAAGCTCATAGATACAGAGAACAGATTAACAGATTGGTGGTTGCTGGAGGGAAGGGGAGAGTTTGGGGTGGGTAAAATGGATGAAGAGGTTAAAAGTTTCAGCTATAAAATAAATAAATCCTGGGAATGTAATGTACAGCATGGTGACTGTAGTTAATAATACTGTATTGCATATTTGAAAGTTGCTAAAAGAATACATCTTAAAAGTCATCATCAGGAGAAAAAAAGAAAA